ATTAATAATGATTCTTAATTATTCTTATATTACAATCAGATTTATTTTCAGATTTAGAACACAAAAATATTTAATTCATTCCATCACATTTTGTTTTTATTTAGAATACAAATCAATGTAAAAAGATGTGATATAAATATATATAAAACAAAAAAGAAAAAAGAATAGCATTTAACTTTTAGCCTTAGTGTACATTTTTGATGTTGATGTACTTAGGTCGTATATATTTTTTCATTCGTGATAATTTAATGTACTTAAAAATCGAGTTAGAGTAACAGTTTTAAAATGGCTGTGTGTGTGGGGGGAGTCACACAATTTGAGTGATTCAACTTATTTAGTCTGTCTTGGGGACTTAAAGGAAGTAACTTTTCTAATGAATAGTTTTCAATTTTTGCACAAATTGTCTGAGGTCAAGTTGCAGTAAAGATTAACTCTCTAGGGGCACCTGGGTGGCTCAGTCAGTTAACTGTCTGACTCTTGATCTCAGTTTAGGTCTTGATCTTGGGGTTGTGAGTTCAAGCCCTGCGTTGAAAAATTTTTTTACAAGATTCATTCTCTAATATTTATCATCCTGTGTTACTCATGATTCCAAGCGTTGGCAGTGGCCAAGGGCCACAGGGAGGTAGATACAGTGGCTGCTTCTGCACCTGCAAGATGGCTCTGCCCTGGGCTTACTCTAAATACAGCTGTTGCTTCCAGTATGAAAATCCTTTAAGGGCCCAGTTTACCTGGGTTTTAAAGGAGCCTAATCTCTGATATTTGGGATGAAGGATTAGGCTCAATCTCCCTGGATAGTTCTAATTATGCCTTAGTGGTAGAATCAAATCCTGAACTATAATTTAAAGCTTCAAGTATCAAATTTCATTACAATAATGTGGGTTTTAGAGTCTGAAAAACTTAAATCCGTAACCTAATTGGATTACTTTCCTTGTGTAGTAACGGATTTAAGTTGTGTTTGATTTCCAGTTTAGGAATTATAAGAAGTTTAGGAGGGTGCTGTATGTTAATAAGTCTGCTTGACTTTTTTTCCCTTTAAAAACCACACCCTTCCCTCATTTATGGTGTAAGACTACTTTGATGATGATTGAAGTTCTGTGTGTAGGGCGAATATATATGTAACTGAAGAATTTCACGAATTTCCTGCCCAGTTATTTTTACATTTTAAAAATACTGTCCCAAATTAACCCGTTAATTACTTAATGCACACTCTTAAATGTTCCTTATTCAGGGTGCCTGGGTGGCTCAGTCATTTGAGCACCCAACTCTTGATTTTGGCTCAGGTCGTGATCCCAGGGTCTTGGGATCAAACCCCGCATTGGGCTCTATGCTGAGCATGGAACCTGCTTAAGATTCTCTCTCCCTCTCCCTCTCCCTCTCCCTCTGCCCCTCTCCCCCACAAAAAAAGTAAAATGTTCCTTTTTTGTCAACAATTAATGTTTATCAAATGACACCGCCCATTTCTCTGTACCAGTGGATTATTTTTTAATTACATTCCCCATACCCACACAGATACATTAATATTGTATGCTTGCACGATGTTCCCACAGATAACTCTGCAAAATAAAATAAGGTGATGTTACACATTTATCTTTGATTGTAAGCCTTCATTTGGCATAATATCTTAGATCTTCTCCTCAGCCAAGAAAAGGTCCTAGCATACTCTTCTTAACCACCTACAGTTTCCTTTCTTCTTAAAAAAAAAATGTTTATTTATTTTTGAGAGAGAGACACACACAAAATGTGAGCAGGGGAGGGGCAGAAAAAGAGAGGGAGACACAGAATCTGAAGCAGGCTCCAAGCTCTGAGCTGTCAGCACTGAGTCCGACTTGGGGCTCTAACTCACGGACCATGAGATCATGACCTTAGCCAAAGTCAGATGCTTAACAGGCTGAGCTATCCAGGCGCCCCACCCTTTCTTCTAAAATAGACAGGCAGGACTCTTCCACTTGGAGTATTGTTTTGGGACATATGAATACCATATCTGGGTACATAACACTAAGGAAGTTTAGCAACTAGCTAAGTTAAGCTTCTCAGCCTAAATCACGGAGAATAATACCGTCTATTTGCCTAGTACAGAACTAGCGCTCAGGATCATCTGGTGTTTTCCCTAGCCTTTTGTATTATCTTGTCTCCTGATGCATTAAAATGAGAGAACACAGCTCAGTAGGTTGATACACAACTTATTTGAGAGATGTTCCTAAATAGAAGATTCAAATCGAATTGTTTTACCTGGAGGTACACATCAACATTTTGAAACAGTCTGTACAAAAAACATGAGGCTATTATTTTGGAATTGGATGGGCTCATCTTTGTACCAACCCAGAGGGCTTTAGTTCTGGATTGTTGAAGAGAAGCTGTCACAGGAGCTGACAGCATCAGAGAGGGCAGGGTTACTGAGGTGCTATTATGACTCAAATGATGAGGAACTGATTAATTTAAGGTGGCTCATAATGTGCCATCCAGTGCCCTTTAAGAGACATATTTCTGATTTTTAAAAAGCAGAATTGTAAAACCTAAGGGCTTAATTTCTATAAAATATTTGCAAGCTTTTTGTAGGCATATCAATCTAGGGAGTAGCCGGCGTGAGAATTTGGAAAGGCAAGAGAATGAAGAGGAGTGAACTTGAAACTTCCAGGTTCTCACAGTGCTATCTAGTCCTCAATTTCTTATCTGCAAAGTTAAACAACAACAACAACAACAACAACAACAACAACAATGCTATTAAAATGATTATTAATTCCTCTAAGGGATTCAAAATATTTATGATGTGTCCTCAAATCATTGCATGATCTCTAAATAGGAGAGGGAGCCAGACAAAATAGCTCGGAAAAAAACACTGGGTTCCATTAATGAAAAATGCAGTAACAACAGTCAAGTCGTGCTGTAATTTATCTCTGTTTAGAAGTAAAAGAAATTGATGTTCTTGGCTGGCTCTGATTTGCCTGCATTTATTTATTTTTTATTTAATGTTTATTTTTGAAAGACACACACACACACACACACACACACACACACACACACAAAGTGAGAGTGGAGAGGGGCAGAGAGCGAGAGGGAGACACCGAATCCGAAGCAGGCTCCAGACTCTCAGCACAGAACCCAGTGCACGGCTCGAACTCACAAACCATGAGATCATGACCCGAGCGGAAGTCTGACGCTTAACTGACTGAGCCACCCAGCTGCCCCATGACTTACCTGCATTTAAAGGCAAGCAAGTTCTATCTTTGAATTGGAAAACTTTGGTTAGGCACAAGTCAAGCTTAGTGGCCGCTGGCAATGCTCTCCAATGAATCAGCAGAGCTATATTTAAATTCTAGGATTTTGTATCCCAGACATGAAACCAACAAATTCTGGTTAATGGAAAGTAAACAGGAAAAAGCTGTTCAATTCTGAAGGCCCTAAGACTATAATAAAAGCAATTGGTACATTCATATGACACGTGACAGTTCAGGAAGATCTTTTCACACCTTTGATTTCATTTTGTCCTCACAACAATCCTGTGAGGCGTTATCAACCCCACTGTACAGCCAAGGAGATGAAAGCTTTATGTGTGCTTAAGTAATTTTCCAAAATCATGCATTTAGTAACAAAGGAAACCATACTAGGTGCAGAGCAATTTTTTTCCCTCCATCTCCACCCCATTCCATCCAACCGTGCCTCTCGTCTACCATATGTAACTTAGACAGTTGGGAGACTGGAAGGAAAGACCAAATTATTTTTAATTAAACACGAAGGGACATTCTACATCTTGAGTTTCTCTTTAGGAGACTCTTATTTATAAGTCTGGACACCCCAAACATGAAGTAATAATCATGTTACTATCCACCACAACACAGAATACCCTGTAACACTGGTCAAAATATGTTTACAGTGTTCTAGACAAAGTCTACATAGTACCTTGGGCAATCCATTTCTGTTCTTCTAACAAAACTGGATATTCTTTACATAAATCTGATTTTAAAATGGACTTGCAGTGGGAGAAAAAATATTTTATTAGCCATTTGACAATATTTGCTCTAACCTTCAGCATCTTAATAAATTATACCTTCTACAACTGGTACAACATGAGGAGCCTAAAACAAGGAGGGAACTGTCGGTTCTAAAGTTACCATTTTGAAATTTAACATTTAACAGAACTTTTCTCTTTCTGCTCTGAACCAAGCACCCCCTGCTCCATATGCCCCAAGAACTCATGCCTGTCCAAGGTGCTATCCCATCTCCAGGTCTCTGCCTGAAGCTGCATTTTCTTTTCTTTTCTTTTTTAATGTTTATTTTTGAAAGAGAGAGAGAGAGAGAGAGAGAGAGAGAGACTGCAAGTAGGAGAGGGGCAGAGAAAGAGGGAGACACAGAATCTGAGGCAGTCTCCAGGTTCTGAGCTGTCAGCACAGAGCCCAACGTGGGGCTGGAATTCAGGAACTCTGAGATCATGACCTGAGCCGGAAGTCAGATGCTTAACCGACTGAGCCACCCAGGTGCACCTGAGGCTGCATTTTCTGATGCATGAACTGATTTTTATTGGATGGAAAAAATTTCTCTGAAGGTTCTTCTAATTCCTTTCAAACACTAAGGCTGATGATGAGCTCACTTTGTTTGAAATAATGCCCCTACATCCTATGACTTCTAAACCAAGCAAGCCTTAGTTCTATCCATAATAAAAGGAAAAGAAAAGAAAGGAAACCAACAACAGAATGTAAAGCCAGGGTGGTTATGTTTTTCCTTTAGAACTATAACTTCTATTATATTTCTGAAAATTAGGTCTACAAATCTTAGTGTAGCATATTTTTTCATCATTTTTTAATTTTTTTATTTTTTAACGTCACATATAAAACAATTCATAACTTTTGGTCATAGCAATGAGAAAATGCAACTAGAAACACAGTCTTGCACTCAACAAACTGACGCTTATCTCTTAGAAGTTCATTTGTTCCCATGATTTCTAGCTGGATTCAGCCAGTAGACCCAAAAGACCACTACAAGAGTCAGGCTGCGTGAATGTGGGCTCAGGTTGAAACAGGAATGAATTTGATGGACTTGGACGATTTAGGCGAGTCCTTCCATGTACCCATACTGTTTGTGGGGCTCCGGTTGTTAGTGTAAAAAGTCTGTCTTCTGCTCATACTGTCAGAATCTTCTTTGTTGAACGTTTGATTCATGTTCTGGCAGCATGGGAAGCTGTGGACACAGTCTTGCAGGAGATGGCCGCTAAAAAACATGTATATCCAGGGATTACAGCAACTATTCAAGGAAGCCAGTAATGCAGTGATGGTGATGGCCGGGTTTTCTGATTCTGTACAAAAAACGTAAGGGGAGATTATTTAAATAGTCAAATGAAAGTAACTGAGCACTGGGTAAACTCATTTTTCTACTGACTCTTAGAAGTGGGGAAAAAGTTATGGGTTAATGTAGAAAATGAAGTATATTGTTCATTAATCCGGGAAATGGCTGGTGTCTGGAAATTGCTTGGTTGTGAAATATTTTCATAAGCAAGATGCATTGACGTTCATTCAAATATCTTAAACCACTTGAAAATATCTCAGTAGAATGAGTGGGAAGAATATTAAACAATTTATTTTTTAAAAAATGTGTATTCTTTATACTAGCATTAGTATGTGCTAACAGACACAGCAGTTACAGAATGGCTGCAATTTCAATGAAATTTCAAAAGTCTATAGCCACATAAATAAAATATTCATCCTAACAACTAAGGCAAAAGTATGACATTATGGAACATGTTTAGTAGTTCTACACTTTTAAATATTAAACATATTTTGTAATAAGACAACTATACATAAGGGAACAGTAGTAATAGGTCCCTGAAGGATGCATTATTTGGTTGTTTCTGGAGTTGTTTTTTGTGTTTTTGTTGTTGTTAATTTTCTATAGTTTCTTTTGATTTTAAAAGAAAACCATTTTGGTGGTTTGGGCAATTAAATTATATTAAGAACAGCTGAGTTAGGAAATTCCAACAAGTTTTTGAAATATTTTATGCTAATTTGCACTGGTAAACCACATAAATATTATAATCTTTCACAGAACTATGACACTGATAATACACCTTTTTGAAACATAAGAATAATCAGCAAGCACTAACTTTTTCTTCATTATTAAATATAAACTTGGGTCTTCTCACTGTTGTTATGCTGGAATAAATTACAGGTGATTTAATCATACCTTGTGCTAAAATGCTACCATTAAAGGTGATCATGATCTGTGGTTACAGACTGTATTCAAAAAAAATGAAAATCATCACCATACCTATGCAGAGGTAGAGAAGTTTTTAGAAATTATGTCTAAATTCTGATAAAGCAATAATTAGACTGAGTTTTTTTATTTGATTGGCAATAATTACGAGGCTGCTATAAGATCAAGCAAGACCGGAAATGATAAACCAAAAATATAGCATTTATGTTGTATTATTTATTATCAGTAATATTATAGCCATGTAGGTATTTTTATTCGTTTGAATTAAATTCACTCTCAAATGTTTTATTTGCACATATAACTTCCAATAGTAAATCACACAGGCTCCCTACCTCAATCTCAAATAGCAAAAGGAGACAGTTCTTCCCAGATACCTATTTCCCAACTATAGCTGATGTTGGTAACATTCCTGTAATATATTTTATTTGAAAAAGTTGGGTTTTTTCTCACTCATAGGAAATAACTTTTTTCAAGACCCAGCCTTAACTGTTTTTGGTGGGGTTCTTTTGAAGTTAGTATTTTTAGTTTGTGGAGGAATTAGAATCAAAGAAACTAGTAGGTGTAGAGAACATTCTCCATAAAACACTGCAAAAGTTGTGTGTGTGTGTGGGGGGGTGCTATAGCTGTATGGTTAAGTTAGTGCTGAAAGATGAATTAATTACTTTAACAATTTTAGAGTTTATCAATAATCCTGCTTTAAAATACCAGAAAAAAAGGTGCTACAGTAATTGTCAGAAAAAGAAGTTAAAAGATGATAAGAAATGGAACACTAAATGCTAAATTAGAATTATTGGCTTCTTAAGAATCTTTCTTCAGAAAAAAATATGTGCGTTTATCTTTGCCGTTGGGGTATTTCTACAAAATTTTTGTATTGTGATATTTTTCACAAGCTAGCAAAAAGCAGTGGTTACAGTACAAATATTTATCTGAACCCGATAGACGCAAAGGCGGGGGGGGGGGGGCGAAATTAGCACAGTGGTTAGTGATCTGCCAAAAAGTCATTATCACGTTTTGTAGTTGCCTGGTTGACTGTAGGGCGCAGTTTCTGGATTTGTCTTAGGATCACTTCAAGCTACAAGTGCACATTCCTGGGCCCCATTCCACAGCTACTGAATCAATATGTCTGGGTTGGAGACCCCTGCCGTTTTGGTAATTTCACCAAAAGCTAAGCATGCAGAAGTTTAAGAACTACTGCCCCAGAGGATAGTATGAAAAGCACCCCCTCCCCCGAACCCCGGCCACACGCACAGCCGAATTCCCGCACTTTCCTCCTTTCTCCCTCCCGACACCTACCGATCCAAACAAACTTCTCATCCCAGACAGACCACATCTGAAGGATGAAGAAGGGCGCCCAGCAAACGATGTAAACGGTCACGATCACAAAAGTCATCTTCACCGTGCGAATCTTGGCGCGGGAAATGGTCTTCACGCTGCTGATACACGGCGCGAGCAGGAGCCCCTTATGCAAAGCGCCACTCGCGCCCTCGGCGCCCTTTCCGGGGAGCAAAGCCGTCTTTCCGCGGACGTTGCGCCAGATGTGGTAGCAGATGAAGCCATAGCAGGTACCCAGGATGACCACGGGCGCCACGAAGATGCCACCCGTCATCCAGGTTACATAGGCGCGGGGACCCCAGGGCTGGATGAAGGTGGCCCAGCAGTCCCGGGCCTTGGTGACGTTGTTCACCTCGACCATGGAGAAGACGAAGTACTGCGGCGTGCTAAGCACGAAGCTCAGCACCCAGGCGGCAGCGATCATGAGGCGCGAGCGGCGCGTCGGTTGCTGCAGCGTCTTCAGCGGGTGGCACACCGCAATGTAGCGGTCGGCGGTCATGACCACCAGCATGTAGGGCGACACGAACATGCCGAACACCTGCAGGTGCTTCACCACGCGGCACAGCCCGTCAGGCCCGCGGAAACGGTAGGTGATGTCCCAGCACATCTGCGGCAGCACCTGGAAGAAAGCGACGGCCAGGTCGGCCAGGCTGAGGTGGCGGATGAAGAGGTGCATGCGGGACGTCTTGCGAGGGGTGCGGTGCAGCGCCACCAACACGCTGCTGTTACCTAGCACGGCTACCACGAAAGTCACAGCCAGCACGGCGATCTCCAGCTTGGCCAGCTCCTCGTTGCGCACGTCCCCCTGGGGGCTGCCGCCGTCCCCGAGCGCCTCCGCTGCCCGGCTGCCGTTGACACCGCCGGCTAACAGGGGCCACCCCTGGCTGGAGTTGTCCGCGGGCCCCTCGTTGGGGCCTCCGGAGAAACGCATGCTGTCCATGCAGCGCCTCCCAGCTGTCTTCCCACCGCCGCTGGCGAGGGCTCCTTGCCCGTCGCGCGCTGTCCTTCCCGCGCTCGCTGGGCTCTGCTCACTGGGCCCTGCTGTCCCTCTTGCGGGCGTCTGCGGGCGCAGCGTCCCACCGCCGGCCGAGTTGCTCTCGCTCCCGTCACCGACCTCTTTCCCCGCTCGGCTCCTTTTCAGCTAGGAAGGCGCTGGGGAGGTGCGCTCCGAGCTTCTGAAAGCACTGGGCTCCAAACTCAATTATTTATGCGGAGTTTGTTTCCCCAGAAAGCGCTCCCTCTCGTCCCAGTGGTTGGAGACTGCTCCGTGCTTACTCCGTCCGCTCTCTCCTCCCACCACCCCCAGGGGGTTCCTTCTTTCTTTCTTTTTTTTTTTCCCTCCTCTCTACGTCGGTGATTTGTTCTCTTTGCATCACTGCTGCAGGGGTGGGGCTGGGAGACTCGCCGATTCCTCGGCTTAACAGGCTGGATGGGGGCGCTTTCCCGCTCTTTTCTGACAAAAACTTGAAGAACTAGACGTGCTATGCCCCCCCCCTTTTTTTGGGTTTTTTTGGCTTACCACCATTTCCTCAAGCCCCCTCAATAGCCACCTTAACTCCATATTTGACGTCAACAGAGGCAGTGGATGCGGTACGTTGAAATCCCGAGTCCGCCTCCGGGCGCTCACACTCCTTGCGCCTGAACTAGGAGCGCGACCCCAACTGCTCCAACCGGGGTTTCCACCTCTGTAGCTAGCCAGCCCACTGCCGGGCTCATTTGACTCCCAGGGCAACTTGGCTCCGAGAATTCAGCCTCTCCCCGCCCTGGTCCCTGCCCTCCCCCTCCCCCGCCCCCGGGAGGGTCACTCCCTCGTCGCTTAAAAAGCGCCATCTTCGCAGTAACACACCTGCTATTCGTCACCCGGCCGGCGCTCGCTTATTCCATCGCGGCCCCAGGGCGGCCGTGGGCGTATCTACTGCAGGAAAAGGATCGTCTCCTGGTTGGGGTGGGTGCCTAGAGAATTTCTGTGAACTAGAAATCCTGGGGTTTCCTCCGGGAAAAGCCTGATTCCCACAGAGGGGATGGACGGAAATCGGGCCACAGTAGTCCGTGGGGACTTCGTCTGCTTACTGCTGAATCGTGGGGACATCTCTTTGGAAGGACAAAGAGCAGCTGTCTGAAGAGCGCACACCCAGGCAGTGCCGTTCCGGGCATGGGAGCGAAAAGGCACCAGGTTCCTGCGCTCGGGAGTTAGAAAGATGCATGCTCCGGTCAGGAAAGAGGCGCTGTCTCCGCAGCGAGACCACCTACCTATTAATTAGCAACTGAACAACTCGAGCCAGGCTGCTGGTCCAGAGCAAAGGCAGAAACACCCTCTACTTGAGCTCTGGTTTGAACTTTGGTGAAAAGACGCTTCGAACCACAGCGAGGGGGAGCTGTTTTCAGGCTATTTCGCGAGAGAAAAAACACACACTTTATAAGGTTATGTCCACTTTGTGGATACACGAACATGACTTTTTGGTCGGCAAATTTGTGTTTTGCGAACGTGGTATAAATTTGATTGTCGTGGGAAAATATACGTGAAATACTGGCAAAGAAAGCAAAGGATTTTCTGAGGTGCAGTTCTCACTGATAATTCCACGTTGCTTTTTAGCTTCTGCATGCCGAGTCCCAAAGGTTGTAGCATTAAGAGAACCAGACTCCTCTCCGGAGTCCTGCTTCACTGCGTCTCTATAAGCTTCAATTTATACCGCTTAGGAATAGAAGTACCTGCCTTACAAGCTGTGTTGCCTCCTCTCATTTTCTCCAAGATACCTAGGAGGCAAAACACTTTTTTAAAGTTCAGAGATGGCCAGAAGTAAAAGGTTTGCAGGCCACCTTTCTGGAAAAATGCTCCAAGCAATAGGTAATAGTCACGGACTTGGAGAGATGACCTTCCTTTAAGTCACAAATTACATTATTGGTGCACCTTATGAGAAATAATGTTGTCGGAGGAGAGGAAATCTGCAGAACAGGATCATTAAAATTCTGTGGGGTGTTCTTAATTCAAAGAGATTGTATGGTGGTCTCTCAGGAAATTATTCAGCTGTGTCACTCCCTTTGATCCGATAAGCAAATCCAATATCCAATTTATAAAAATAACTTACTGGGTTACATCCGGTGGCATAGTTAGAAGATATTCAGTAAACAATAGTACTAGTTATCCATAGGTATTGTGTATGTATATATATATATATATACATACACACACACACACACACACACATATATATGGATAATATGGAAGAAATACCAATACTTTTCTTAATGCATGTATTTTTAAGAACCATTAAAATATAGACTCACTATGCATGTACCTCACTGGACCTGCTATGAAAATTTTTCAGTGGCAGTTAATTTTGGTTCTAAAATATGAAAAGAACATAGTCAATATTTTGTGTGGCATCTGGTGCTTTTTCGTAGAGCAATTCGTGTTTGCTCTGTACTTCTTGTATTACTAAGACCATTTTTTTCTCTCTTACTCTCAGTTAATTTCAGTTAATGTATTTTGGGGGTGCAATGACGAAAAGAAAAACTGAAGGTTGTGTGTGCATACCCTGGAGTAATCTTTCTCTTTCATTTGCCTGCCTTCCTCCTCCCAGTTTGTAATTCTATATGTGTAAGAAGTATTTTGATTAGGAGAAGCGGCTACCTCCTTCATTTACTAGCTGTGTGACTTAGTTTTAATTTTTGAGGTTTAAAACCTTCATCCATAAAATCTTGGTGATAAAATATAATGCAGATATTTCAAGGATTATATAACTGGTTAAGTTTCTGACATTTCATGAATATTCAAAACATTTATTCTTCCTTTTTTTCAAATATGTACATATTTTGCCAATAATTTTTCCCTTCCAATTAAAGCAGCCTACCCCCAACTTCCTTCTGTGCAATAGAAGATATTGATAGGTAAGGGGCGCCTGGGTGGCTCATTCAGTTGAGCATCCGACTTGGCTCAGGTCATGATCTCACAGTTCCTGAGTTCGAGCCCAACGTCTGTGCTGACAGCTCAGAGACTGGAGCCTGCTTTCAATTCTGTGTCTCCCTCTCTCTCTGCCCCTTCCCCACTCGTACGCTGTCTCTCTCTGCCTCTCAAAAATGAATAAATGTTAAAAAAAAAATTTAAAAAGAAGATATCGATAGGTTTTCTTTGAGAAAAGAGTTCCATGGTCAAATACTTTGGGGGAAGTGCTGTGTATACATAAAACCTGTTAAACTTTGTTTTTTAATATCTCCTAAACCTATTTAACCATGGAAAGCCCCCATCCTTTTGTTTTCCCCATGGAACGGTGATGAACATGTCATAGGACAACCGATACAGTTTGAAGAACACCGAATAAATGTACTTGGGGTTCCAAAATGCTTGGTAACCACCACTGGACTTAGTCAAGTCAAGAAGTTGGGGGTTTGGGTCAAGTTTAACCTACTCTCATAGAGGCTGGGATACCCAATATAAAGGGGTTACATTTCATTTATCATATTACCTTATGTGCTGCTTCATAGACGCTATTCATATGTACTCTTTCCTTAAACTGTCAGGTTTTTTTTTCCTTTTTTTTTTTTTTTTAGTAAGAAACGTGGAAGAAATTGGGTATCTGCCGGAGAAACCATTTTACTTCTGTAGCCCACAGTGACTCCTTCCACTTCAATTATAAACTAATGACATTATAGCTTTAGGGCCATAGTCTAGTATTCATACTATTACTTCTAGCAAACCAACAAATATCTGTGGCACATCACTATGCTAAGTTGTGAGCTAGATACAAAGAAGTATGTAATGGCCACTAACATTTACTGAACACTTTATGCCAGGCACCATCAACAGTGCTTTCTTCATTTAAGTATTTCTTCATTTAATCCTCTCAATGACCCTATGAGGGATGTACTCTTATTTCACTTTACATTTAAAGAAACTGAGGCACAAAGAGAATAAATAACCAGCTTCAGGTGACACATCCGGTCAATAGTAGAACCAGAATTCAAAAAAAGAAATTGATTCCAGCAGAGTTTATAATCTTAACCATTACACTGTGCTGCCACTTGTAAGACTCATGTTCCTGGAACTTACAGACTCATGTGGTTGGTCATTTAACATGTGATATGTTCTCCTTTAAGACTAGGAAATTCTATAGGGTCTGCACCTACTGGTTTCCTCCTTAGTAAACCAAGAACAAGACAGTAGTAGTAGAAGTAGTCATAGATAATATGAACACTTACCAACACTGATTAAGTGCTTAACTCATGAGCTGAGATTTAAGTCCCTTAGTTAATTTAATCTTTAAAATAATAACAAAGAATACTGAATATAGGAATACACTCACTATTATCTCATTCTACAGATGAGCAAAACAAAGATTAGAGAAGTTAAGCAACTTAGCCAAAGTCACAAAGCTCCATGTGTCTGAGCTGAGTCACAAATTCTCCATTTGAAGTCAAGGTGTTGGTTCTAACCCGTGTGCCCTACTGCCTTTCATACGCATTACAAGCACTGAACACATATTTAGAGAAAGAATTAACAAGCATCGCAGTGGAAACTGGCTTTTGAGTGCTGAAGGAATATAAAATTTAAAAAGTACTTGGTGACTAGATAAGTTAGGGAAGATTTCTTGAGGAACCACCTTGAAGCACCAATATCTCTAATATCTACCTGAAAATGAGAGTCAGCATTTATATCTTAAATAGTTCTAATTTATATCTTAAATGGTTCTAATCAGTTTTCTGTCTCACAAATCTCGGACAGGTTAGTGTATATTTATGTGATTTTAAGAGTTACCGAATGCAATGTCATGATATATTCAAAGTGCTGAAAGGAAAACACTTATGACCAAGAATACTCTCTCTGGCAAGTTATCATTCAGAAATGAAGGAGAGATTAAGAGTTTTATAGCCAAGCCAAAACTAAAATGGTTCATTGCCACTAAACTGGTCCTACAACTAGTTTGAGAGAGACTTCTTTAAGCT